CAGTACGAGATGAAGGAGGGGGGCGAAGAGACTAGGATGAGGACAGAGATGAGAGAGAAGAGAGTGATGAGAGAGGATGAGATGGTCGGAGAGAGGTAGAAGGAGAAGGCGAAGATGAGAGAGATTACGAGCGAGAGACTGAGAGGAGAGGAGAGAGAGGATTATATACATAAATATAAAGACGCACCACACGCGGTGTGTGCGATAATTACTGTTATTACAGCAGCACAGGACGTACCACACATCCGACTGGACAATTTCTCGTCAACAATTCTCTTGCGATCGTTGTTACGTACTCTACTCGTAATATAACGCAATATGTCAATCAAGCGCTGTGTGGATTTCAACATATAATTCAATAGAATAACAGTTCGTTATAACATCACCTGCATGACGTATCTGGCTTAACAACAACAACAACAACAACAACAACAACAACAACAACAACAACAATAACAACAACAACGACGACGACGACGACGACGACGACGACGACGACGACGATGATGATGATGATAATAATAATAACAATAATAATAATAACAATAATAGTTACGTTCCTTAATTCTCGTTACGTTACGTTACCTGCTATTAAAGCCCGGCGCACACGTGAGTAAAGTTTACTCAAGTAAAATGACTCATGAGTCAAAATACTCACGCGTAATAATTTTCAGCGTTCGCCGCACACGTGAGCAAAAAAACCGAAAATATTAAGTTTAAATTACTCAAGGAATAAGTGGTAATGCAGATCACGTGCCTGTGCGCAGCCAATACCTGGGCGCACAATAATTTAAACGCATGCGCTGTGAGTACCAGTGTTGAGTAAATTTACTCAGCGCGCGCGCCCACGTTGAGTAAAATGACGCATGAGTCAAAAATTATCAAACACGTTTGATATGAAGTAAAATGACACATGCGTCAAATTACTCAACGAAAATCCGCCGCACACGTGAGTAAAATGACTCATGCGTCAAATTACTCAACGAAAATCCGCCGCACACGTGAGTAAAATGACTCATATACGTCATTTTACTTGAGTAAAATTACTCACGTGTGCGCCGGGCTTAAAGGTCAGGAAATGTCAATAGGTGCTACTGCATGCAGATCGGGTCTCATATATCCAGATAATAGCTTATATAGCGACATTACAAGTATAATATCACAGGCGCGTTTTTATGAAATAATAAAGCTCTGCATTATACGCACCTCTACGAAGACATGTACATACAGACGTTACGACGTACATGCCCACCGCGGCATGCATTATGTTTAGCTCATTTCCACACGGAGTTTATACGAGGCATGGACTCATGATGTTTACCTATGATAAGTTGTTGTTTGTACTGATCTACTTCACATCTAGTCTATATGCTTACAGCTTAGTTACCAAGATCTGTTCGGGTGACACATTATATATATCCTGCCTGCTGTGACAACCAGCGCCCGTTGAGTCACTACAACAACTACTCCTGCTGGTACTTTGCTTCTTGGTGTTATGGTCCGACGTTGGGCCAGTCCACTTGCAATAGCCCCTGGTGATATTCGGCGATATTTTTAATGCTCCGTGGAAGAACTTGATGCGGTGCTAAGAATAAACACACAACCTCGCACACTGTAACATGCGGGACAAGTAATATCTCACGCGTTAGTACCACTGACCGCCTGCAAGTTCCGTCTCCCCAATGTAGACGGTGACCGCCATCGCTTACCTTTCAGTAGCACAGGTGAAATACCATGCGAAAGATTGCACACTGCAGAGTCGTGTCCGTCTATTGCCGGATCTGCTAACTTGTGAGGGGTGTGCCTGAGGGGCGAGGTGCTTCCTGGAAAATAACGATAAAAATGCACGTAGAAATAAAATAAATTTATAACTTAAAGATATGTGTATACGATACTCGCAAACAAAATCTCAGTCATAAATAAATAGCATTAGCTATTTTGATTAGAACAGAGTAGTTTAAAAATATTACCGGCAGGTGGCGGCATTCTAAAAAAATCAAAACAACTTTCGGAAGCAAATGTTTTAATATTATTTTTCCTGCCAATTACCTGCGATAATTCCTGCGATAATGTACAAACATGAATATCAGGGAGGAAGCCACGTCGAGGTATTCAGTGCGCAGGGAAAAGACCCTGTCTTGAAATGGAAGCTGACAGGCGGGGCTGGCATCAGAAAGGTATTTGTTTACGGTTTATCGTTATTTACCATTATTCATTAAACATGATTTATCATTTAGTAACCTACCTAAGTTTGTTCTGAGAATTTCGGTCTATTTATTGATTGTGTCTGTACTACTACTAGTAGTAATTTTATATTTTTGGTTTACTATTTTATAGATCTATGACAGGGACACGAAAGGGTATGTGTATTCGCTGGAAGGAACTAGTACAACAACAAGGATGCAATGTCCCAAGGATGCGAAACAGACATGTATGCTGTTCCAAACATTTCGCGTAATATGTGGCTCTTACATGATTTAGTTAGTGACTTAAGTAATATTAAGCATGATAAATATTAGTGCTACCCACCTGAGGGCCTAGGACTCCACAATATTTTGACCCCATAGTTTTTTACATTCATCACCTATTTCACAAATATATTATTCATTATGGTTTAATCCACTTTTTTGTGTATCTAGTGATGCTGATGCAAAGGTATCTGGTGATGCAGATGTTCATACCACTGGGACAGGACTTCTCTGTGGAGATTGGGTAAGAACAGAAACAACTACATATTTCTTAAAGTACCAATGTCTCAATTCTCTTCTCTGGCTTCTGGTTAGAATGTATTACAGATTCTTAGTTGTGTGGTCATCTTATGACAATGGGGACGTCCAGGTCGTAGTCAAACAGCTTCACGTATTTGCTGATGTATGTTAACCTGTGAGTTTTCCTCTGCAGAACATGTGACTTATCGAACGTCAAGCGAAGAATTCTCCTCTCCACAACTCTGAGAGACATCCAGTCTACTCCTCTACATGCTAGACTCCCACTAACCATCGTGCGCAGAGCTGTGGTAGGCAAGGTTTAACAGGTGTTGGTGTTAGTCCTCGATCATTAACAGTCACTCTCGTGTTATGTCAGCAATTTTCAAAATCACACTGAAAAGCATTACTATAAGAACAGTCATAGTATTGCATGAGTTGTTGTTGAATGAATGAATCTGGGTTTTATGAGACCTTAATTAGCGATTGTCGTCGATTTTAGTGGATAAATCTTGCCATCGATATGAATTCGGTTGTTGGCGACGTATTGAAGCGACAGTCATGCAAGCACATTGAAAACCTGACCGTCTGTGCAAACTGCAAGCTGAGAAGGATCTACACAATGAAGTCGCAGCCCCTCGACACAACTCTTGCTAACAGTGAGTAGCCACGTCTATATACGGGTCATCTACCCCGGAAGTCCGCGGCACCGCAGAGTTGTTTCATTGCCACTCTTGTAGAATGTAGATTTATATAGACTATATGTGGATTTTCGTAGTTTTATAGGCGAAGTTGATAGCCTCTTGCCATCCATCCTCATTTATTGAGGCTTGGGACTTCTCGGAGTGTTCGAAAATTCTTACGGGGACATGTACTACCATTAAACATCTCAGCATTCCTTTCCCATATGCTCTAACCATTTAGTCGGAGGCTAATGTATGCGAACAGTTATATATTCTCTCTGTTTATATTCATCAGGTGTCACGAGTACGTACGGTATTAATGAAGGAGAGGTAGACACCATACACAAGAACTACAATCTACCTGCAGACATACCTCAGTGTACACAGGTAAAATGCTGCTCTAGAATATTTACGTCCTGAATTCCTAGTCATACAAGTATCTCGATTTAACATGTGCAGAGACAGAGAGAGTTAGAGAGAGAGAGAGAGAGAGAGAGAGAGAGAGAGAGAGAGAGAGAGAGAGAGAGAGAGAGAGAGAGAGAGAGAGAGAGAGAGAGAGAGAGAGAGAGAGAGAGAGAGAGAGAGAGAGAGAGAGAGAGAGAGAGAGAGAGAGAGAG